GGGATGTAGCGCCTGCTCACCGCCTCCCGGACACTCGTCGGACCTCTGCCCCGCGGTAAGCTGGGCCCGCGCCCGCCGCCGGCGCTGTCCGTGTGTGTGTCCGGCCTCCTGCGTGTCTGTGTGTCCTGGGCCGGCCACTTTGGCCCTTCCCGCTTAGCACTTATCCCTGACCCGGTTCCCGCGACTTCCCAGGAGCTGATGAGCTCTGTCTGTGCCCGTCAGTCAGGAGCAGAGAGGTCTAGGGTGATGCCAGGAGCCGGGAGTGGTGGGTGGAACTAGCCTTAACCTCCTGCCCTGGCCGCGACCTTTCCCTGCCTCCACCCACCCCCAGTTGTCAGGGGAGCTTCAAGGCAGGTGACTTGTGGCAAAAAGGGAGGGCTCTCTTTTCCACCTCTCCAACTGCAGCCCGTTTGCAAATGGCCCTGCTATCTGACCGAGAGCAAAATCCCACTTCTCATGTCTTGAGCACCTACTTTGGGCCAGGCAACCCCAGGGCGAGGGGACAGGGGCCCAGTAAATGAGGCATTTCACATCTCACAGGGAGACAGGCTGTAGGGAGAGGCACAGACTGCTTTTCCCTCCCCGGAGAGAGGACCCCCAAAGAAAGAGAGGTCTGGATGCACCCCAAGCAGGGAAACTTCCCCTGCAACATGCTGAGAGTCCCCCCACCAGCATCCACCTCAGACCTGCCCCAGTGCTCGGATTCCAGGACCGGGCGGGGGAGGACGCGAGGAGGTGGCAGGTAGGAGTGTGGTGGAGGGACTAGAGACAGGCCAGCCTGGCCAGGCTGGCCGGTGAGGGCCTCAGGAGCTGTAGGAATTCAAGCAGCAGGTTGAGGGGACAGGGAGCTGAGGGAAGCCAATGGCCATCCAGCAAGGCCCAGAGAGAAGCCGGACCCTGTGTGCGTGCGCGTGTGTGCATGTGTGTGTAAGATGTCTATTCTGCTTCTCCCCCACATCCAGTCCCATGACCTCCAGAGCTTCGAGACTTTTGGGGGCTGTTGCCAGGTCTTTGGGGGCCCCGAGAGCCACACTGTGGCCCTGGCTTGGCCTGCGATGAGGGGAGCAAAGGGCGGAAGAAGGCCGTGGGGGTGAGGGCTGGAGGGCAACCTGGCAGGAGCAAAGGCCGCCACCGTTGAGCTGGAGGGCTGAGCCCAGAACGTTCGACTGTTCTCCACGGGGAGAAGAGGCTGTTTCTAGGGTTTTCCACGCCGGGCAGTGGGCCTCATATATGCTCCATTCAGGCTTCTAGAAATCAGCTTAGCTGGCTGAGGAATGAGCACCCTAGACGAGTCACTCGCTCCCTGACCCTCAATTTCCATAACTGTGGAATGAGGACACCCCTTCCTGCCCCACTGACCTCCAAGCACCCCCCTTCCAGGCTCAAGTGAGCTGAGGGCTGTTCACAGTCTGGGGAAAGTGCTGGGCAGGTGGGGTGAGGACTCTTTTACCTTCGGGACAATGCGCAGATAATGGGGAGGGGAGACCAAAAAGAGGAGTGTCCAGGCATTAGAGGAGGAGATCCGGGGCTCCGCACTATGCCTCAGGAACCCTTGGGTTACTCTTGAAAAGGGAGCTCTTCATCCAGAAAAAGCCTTCGCGGTGACTGGGAACAGACAGAGCTGGCCTTGCGTTTCTGCTGGGTGACCTTGGGTAGCTGGCTTGACCTCTCCAAGCCTCAGTTTCTTCAACTGGAGAATGGGGATGATGGTAGCGACTTCACTGGGTTGCTGAGTGATTCGCAGACTATGCCTGGTCTCTGAAAGCTGCTTGCACGAGCCGGGAGCGTAGTAGGATTTTAACAGACATTTATGGAACAGGGAATGAAGTGGCTCTAGGAGATGTTGTGAAAAGATTTCTTAGCTTAGGGGAAGAGGGAAGGGGAGGAGGAACAGTGTAGGCTTACAGGGCGGGTCGGTTCTTAATGTGGATCTGGGGGAGGCGGGGGTGAGAGCTGAGGGGGAAGTGAGGAGGAGGGGGCCCCTCTGCGGGGACCACTGAGTCACGAGGACATGTAAGCGACATGACAACCAGCAACATGGTAACCAGGAGACTAGCGGCGATGGGAAATGGAGCTGGAACGGTGTGTTGTGGGGGTTGGGGGGGGTGCAGGACTGACAGCGCCAGAGCTGGCCGGCCTCTCTGAGCGAGGAGGGGAGGCTGCAAAGCCAGGTGGTCCGGGGAGGAGGTGGGGACCAGAGTGGAAGGAGGGCAGGTGCCTCTGGGGTCTGCTGGCCAGGGGGGCTTCTCTGCACCTCCCCAGGCTCCTTGCTCCTCTCCTCCACATCTCCACTTTTCATGCCTCTCCCCCTAGGATGCCAAATTTGGCTCACGCAATCTGTCGTCTCTCTTCTGAGATTGGCACTAGGACCAAAGCCGAGTGCATTACATCACCGCAGCTCCCCCTGCACGCGGAGAGGAGAGGGAGGGACAGAGGGCCAAGGGACAAGCGGCCAACCCTCAACTTTCTTTCCTGTCTTCCTGCTCACTCATTTGGCCTCAGACCCAGGTGTTAGGGACTTCTGGGAGTGGCCTAGCAGGGGCCCGGAGGCAGGACAAGGGCTCCAATCTTGGGAAGATTCCGGGGCCTGGGGCAGGAGGTCAGGCCATGTTGCTGTCCCCCTGGCTAGATGAGGCCCGGGAGGCAGGTAGCCTGCCTTCAGGACCCCAGTCTGTCATTGCTTCGCCTTCTGTGTGACCTTGGGCAGCCTCTCACCTCTACCCCGTGCGGAGTCGACATCTGTATAGAAAACAGTTGGCCACTCAAGCTCTTGGTGACTCTCCTGACAAAAAAGATGCCCTTGAGTCCTGCTGCTCTCCTGGGCATAGAGGAGGAGTCTAGAATTTTAAATGGCTTTCTGTGACCTTGAGCAAGTGATTTTATCTCCTCATGCCTCCACCTCCTCACCTGTGAAATGGGGATGATGGAACTTAAAAGGTACTAAGTGTGAGATAGGGGGACAGGAGAAGAGAAAGGGTCTCTGGCCCTGCAACCACAGACAGGGGCCCCTTGGCATAGTGGGCTGGAGGTGGGGGCGGGCCCACCAGGCCAGTAGCCGGGGGAGGGCAGTAGGACAATGGGTCTCAATTCAAACAGAGGGCTCAGAGCTTAAATCACTCGTTTGGTGCCCTCATCTTACAAAAGTAGAAATTCAAGGCTCAGAGATGGAAGTGGACCCCGTCCTACTGCCAAGGTCACAGTGATATTTTGGGGGCGAAGGAAGGAGAACGGCCTGAACCCAGGGCTCCTGGCTCTTCTCCCTGCCTGGAAGTAGACAGACAGGCAGAGGAACACCCTGCCCCCATGGAACAAGATGGCAAGCCTGGAGAGGACCCAGGAGCTTTGAGCTCCCAGTCCTCACCTTGGCCCCCTCCCGCCTCCCTTCCTGCTCCCTGGCCCCATCCCCACCATCTAGGGACATTAATTTGGTCTATTTGAGAATCTCCCTTTTAGCCTCATTTAGAAGCCAGTTTCAGGCAGTCCCAGGCAGGAGCAGGCTGGAGCTGGGGTTAAGCTGGAAGATTTTGGCCCCTCTAGAAGATCCCCGGAGGTGGAGAAAGATGGGGAGCATCTGTGGATGCTTCGTGAAAAAGTGAGCTCCTCAGTCCCCCTCCCAGAGCTATTCAAGCAGAGCCAGATGAGTATCTGCCAGAGATCCTGACCCGGTGACTCCTGCTTCCTGGATGAGGTTGAATGACATCCCACCTCCAAAATCCCAGGAGTCTTTGATATCCCCCAGGAGGAGCTGGGAAGCAGCTCCCATCACTTACCTGTTTCCCAGCAAGGAAGCTCACGTTGTCACCAGGCTTTGAGCTGGGAGCTTTTGCAAATCCCTTCTCATTTAATCCTCCCAGCAATCCCACAATGTCGAATTGATGTGCCAGTGTTACAGATGGGGGAGCCGCGGCTCAGAGAGTCTATGTGATTTGCCCAAGGTCACACAGCAGGGACGTGGAGGAGCCTGGATTTTAGTCCAGGCCAGTCTGATTCTCAGGGACTGTTCTGGAGACTTCTTTGAGAAGAGTGGAAAACGTCCCTCCCATGGGCCATGGGTTGACAGTCTGTTGCCCTCACAGCATGACACCCCCTCAAGGACCCTCTGGGGGGCTCAATTCCGAAGGCATAGATATAGTCACGCACCCGAGGGCAAAACTCATTCTACAAATGGTAAGACTGAGGCTCAGAGACAGAGAATGACCTGCCCAAAGGTACCCAGAGAGTTAGATTTGGGCCAGGACTCTGTCCCCTACACCAGTTGAGGAGGGGCTCTGGAGCAATGGTGGCATGAGGTCCAGGGTTGGGGGTGCAGACTGCTGGGTGGTTTGGCAGCCAGCTGAGAGACTGCCGACTCCAGGCTGGGACGGTGGGTAGGGGAGTCCGCCTCGAGAACAGGGAGACCAACTGCAGGGTCAGCTGCTCCACATCTGCCCCGTCCTCCCTGGCCCTGCCCCAGCGCCACCCGCAAATGTCGGTGTCATACAGCCTGAGAGGTCAGGGGAAACTGTGGGTCCGACAAGAGAGGGTTCTGGAGCCAGCAGCCTCCGGTGTGGTTCTTGTGTGACCTCAGGTCAGTGTCTCACCCCCTCTGAGCTTGGCGTACGCATGCCCATCGTGTGACCAGGAATCTGGATTTCATGAGCTATTTCTACAAAGTAGCTGCCGTTGGGTCGTCATCCAAAAGTGCTCCTCCCATCCGCACGAGGACCCTGGGCCCTTGGGCAAGGGACAGGCAGGAACCCTGGAGGCTGGCGTAACCTTTAAGCCTCCTCAGCGACTCAGCCCTCCTTGGGGTGTGGGGGGATCTCCAGGCCCAGCCCTTCTTCTCCTTTTCATCTTTATTTTTCTCCTGCTCCCTCTTCTCCTCGCTACGTGGGCTGATCACTGCTCAAACTTTTAATTCAGATGGTAATTGAAATAATAATATGGGCTGAGGCCCCTCTGCCTGTGACGCTGCAGCTGGAGCTCAGCTATGAATAGACCTTGAGTCACACACGCGCGCTCCCGCAGGCAGGCGCGCACCCGGGCTCCCAGGGGGGTGGGTGGGGTGCAGCGTCA